CTCCAGCGAAAACATCGAAATGCCGGTTGCTTCTGCGCTGAATTATTACTGGGACACGTAAGAATATTAGCGCGCCTAACGCATTCGCATATGATGGCATGTCAAGCCTCGACTTTGTGTGGTATGTTATCAAGGCGTGTGCCTCTTGGCAACTTGTGCTGATCTCTCGCTGCCCCTCACTGGTCGTTGCCCTGCTGGTCACCGCATTTGTTCGTTTTGCCTGCTGCGTAGCGCCCGTCGCTACGACCTCGTGCGCGCGAGAAGCTCAGTAAGGCGCACGCGGCTTGGCTAGTTCTCGGCGATGACATGGGCCACCGCTCTGGCATTCGTCGCAAGGAGCTTTCCAACCGCACGCGCAACGGTTCGCTGGCCATGTTGGGTGGCGAGATTCCGGAGACCGTGCGCTGCGTCACCGGGCTCGCGGCCGCCGACGACTACATCACCTGCACCACCACTTGCGCGCTGCAGCACAGACTACCAGCCGCCCGCCGGCACTCACCAGGACAGGCACGACGGAGGAATGCATCTACGTCGTGTCGTTGCTAGGCCCCGCGTCGGGCAAGCTGTTACACGACTCGAAAATCGGTTGCAACGCGTACGCGCGTGACATTCACGCAGCGTTACACCAGTTTGTCAGTCAGGCTGGTCGGACGAAGAGGAACCTTCGGATGTCTTTCCTTACTTCGCCAACGACGTCGACGCGGCCGATGTCCTGATGCGCGCTGTGGGCTCCCGCGTAAAGGGCCGCGTGCGTTGGGCACTTGTCGCTGGCTCACCTGGTCTCGTCGCCAGGAGTAAGTTGGCGACGGTCATGTACAGGTCTACGTCGGACTCAGGTGCCTTCCCTATAGAGGGCGACGGTTTCACCCGCGACGTCGTCCCTGCTTTGCTGGCCAATGACTGGAATGCGGCGCGCGCAATGGTCCGCAACGCACCTCGCGGGCAAAAGGCAGAGTCATGAGTGATGGGAGAAAAGGAAGAGTTCAGGGACGCGGCGCAGGTTCGTAATTGCGGTTTTCTTTCGGACGGTCGAGTCAGCGTCGCGCCGCCTTTTCTGTTGCGACTCAGTCCGGGTCTCTCTTGTCACCGAACCACAGCGGAAACAGATACGATGTTGGGCATTAATCCCGTGCGTGCCCTGTTGACGGCAACGACCGCATCGGCGCCATGCGGAGTGCTTTCGCCATGGTGAGTGTGGCCACCTTGTCTGCCGAGGAGCCTATGTTCCGTCGCGGTGACACAGCGCCCGCGTTCATGGCGCGCCCCGACGCAGCGGGGGGCACGGCGGAGGGCTGCAGTCGCCCCCTTGAGGATGCCGAAAACACGTTCGCGCGCTAAGCCCCAGCGCGCATTCGGGGCCGCGCTCCTGCGGCCGCGCGCCGGGATTGCCCGCGGCACGGACGCCACAACCAAACGAGAGCTACAAGGACTGCGCGCGTCAGCAGGACACGGTGGTTTGCCGCGCCACGTGCCGCATCGCTTGGATGCAGCGTAGCGCCTTGGCACCGGGTCGGGCACTCCCCCCTCCAGCGATCCGAAACCCGGACGCCACTCGCGAGCGTTCACTCGCACAGGACCTCTTACACCAACCTGTTGCGCAGCCCCGCTTCAGGCCCACGCGCCTCGCCCCGAGGTGGCTTCGCGCAGCTCTACCTCGTCGCCACCGGCTGCGTCGCCAGCCCCCGCGTGCCCCGCTGCGGACCTGGGCCCCCTTGTGGCGTTTGGCGTTCCCCCATGTTCGCGTTGACCTTCTACTCCTGCCCCTGCTTGGCACTGGCTCCCTGCTTCTGCTCGCTGCCCCGTAGCAGCCCCTGGTGCTCCCCGCCCCCCGCCGGCCGTCAGCCCGCCGCCGCTGCCCCCTGTCCTGGGGCGCCGCCCGCGCCGCGCGCCTGGCCCTGCTCTGAGCGGGCCCAGCTTCTCCCTCTTTCCAGCCGCCGCCGGGCGCCTCCTCCTCCACCATTGTTTCTCCTATGAATAATTTTTCTTTGTCGCACCCCGAACCAGTTTTTAAGGCGGGCGGGGCGTTTCGCCTGAGACTTCCTCACCACTCATGCCCCTGAAGCTGTAAAAATGACAACAGCTTCACACATGGAGGGCGGATGGTTTTCAAAATGTGGCTCTCGCCCTAGCGCCGCGCACATTCGTTTAAATTTGCGAGAGTTTCACGGATTGAAGGCGGGTGGTTGTCAAAATGTGGTTATCGCCATAGCGCCGCGCACATTCCTTTTCAAAATGTGCGAAATCTTCACGGATTGAGGGCGGGTGGTTTTCACAATGCGGCTCTCGCCTCATCGCCGCGCGCATTCTTTTTCAAAATTCGCAAGAACTTCATAGATTGAGGGCGGGTGGTGTTCACAAAGTGGCTCTCGCCTGGGTGCCGCGCACATTCGTTTTTAATATTTGCGAGAGTTTCGCGGATAGAAGGCGGATGGTTTTCAAAATGTCGCTCTCGCCTTCAGCGCCGCGCACATTCTTTTTTCATATCTGCAATAACTTTACC